TTTGTGGAATAAAGATTGAAATCGTTTATCCTTAAGAAATTCTCGTTATAGTACTAGAATAAAAACATTATTTTAAGTCACTTCAGTTGCTCATAGTTTTTACATTCATAACATATGTGCATGTACCTTTAAACCAAGCTTATTTTGATTTGGACAAAATATGACTTTGACATTAATTTTCTTATTTCACAATACATTTAATTGTAAATCTTAGGCTTCACCAATGCATGACTAGGCTCTGATTTTAAACCTCAATTTTGCAGAATCATAGTGACTCATAGATCTATAATTTTAATAATAAATTACTAGAATAATTTTAAACTATCAATTAAATGTTATAATATGCATTTAAAATTTGAGGGCCATTGTTAATTGCAGTGAAAAAAAATCTGTTTAATGTCCTGTGATTCACACTTTTACTTCTTAAAACTATTGTAGCAAAAGTATAAAAATTATACAGGTCGTTTGATATTCCTCAAAGGTGAATACAAGTTAATAAAATGTGAAGCAATAACTAAAAAAAGCATTTTACTTGTCTTTTTGCATAGAAGAACTTCCTGTATTAAAATCCCAGGGTCAATTCTGTTAATGTTACTTTTGGAAAAAAGAAGATATTTTACAGGATTCAAATATTATTTTCATAACGTCCAACAGTAAAACTTCATAATTTCTTGTTGCGGTAGAACCTTCATTGCTGTAAAAATAGGTTTTAAGACTTTGAAACACTTAAAATACAATCTATGCAAATGTACATATGAATAATAGCTTTTAAGGCTGTTGATAGTTTGCTATTTAGCAAACTGTTACCAACATAAGTAAATGTTAATATTTGTRTTTGGCTAAGAGTAAGAACTAATGAGTAATTGACATTAATGTTAAATTGTCACATAAAACCACTTTAATAATGTTGCAAAAAATAATCATCTTTAAAGGATTCTCTAATGATCAAAAGCTATACTCCTGTTGGTGGAATATCTAAGGACTTGTAAGTTTTAAATGAATACTAACAAAGGAGTTTTAAGTCTATGTCCCTTGTTTATGAAGCCTGCTGCTCAACATTTCTTCCTTTACATTTCAATCCTGGTTGCTCAATTCCTGAGTCTCTACAAATTGAGAAAAAGAAAAGCCATGGCTGTCTACTGGCTGTCCAGAAGCCCAGGGTTGTCAAGAACCTCTGCTTCCCACTACTTGTTAGAAATTCACCCAGGATATCCAGTGAGGGGGTGGGGGAAGTCACTAGATGTAACCATTTAAGAAAAGATTTTATCTTTCTGGCTATGTAGTCTTTCAACAATACTTGAAATACAGCTTTAGGATTTTTCTTTAAACTGATTGAATGATTACTTTTCTTGGAGTAAAGACAGTTTACTGATGATTACTTAATGAGCAATTATTAATGGACTGTTGAGATGTCCTTCCAGCAGTGTTTTCTAATTGTGGGAGGTGGAATGTTGGTTGGAAATATTTAATTGGAAATATTTAATTGGAATTTGTGGAGGAAATTAAGAGCAAGAACTTGTTCAAGAAAAAATATATATATATATATGTATATATTTTTTTTTTCTAAAGGCCCCCTAGCAGGACATTCAGAGCTCCATACTTTTGAAGGATGGCCATACCTTTGAGAGCAAACTGCCTCTTTTCTAAAGTTTCGCAGTTAATAAAAATTAAACTACTTGAAATAATAGATGAAAACTGGACTCTAGAAAAGCCAAGCCCCATCCTTGTTTACAACAAGCATAAAACCAGATTTCTAATCCGCCCAAGCGACAATCACCTATTGATTGCGACGACATCTGTGCCCCTGTTTTTGGAAGCAGGGTTTTCTGCGGAGGAAGGACTGAAAAATCCAACCATTCCCGTGCCCTGTGTAATACACAACTGGCAGATTTTTCAGGAAGAAGCCTGGAAACCCACACCTGCCTGTGCTCACTCCTTTCTTACTTAGGGATGAATATAATTAAAAGTCCTTCCTTTGGCCTTCAGAAGTTATTTCTTTCGATAATGCCATGTACAAAGAAGCATCTCTAGAACTCATACGGTACACTCTCGCAGACAAAGGGTGAAATGCTTTGTGCGCCACCAAGTACAACCTCCTCCGCCCCAGGCCAGGGTAAGCCACCGCTCTGCGTCCTGAACACAGTTCAGCGGTGGGGCAGGGCAAGAACTCAAAGAACAGAGCCTCTTAACCTCTTACCAGGGAGCTTCCCAGGGAATAAAGTCTTAAATAACCTAGGCGGAAGCGGGGGCAGGGTGAGGGGGAACTGGGGTCCGGGTAGGTTTGCTGGATTGGCCCGGAGGGGGAATTACTCAGTCGGGAACCACGTTTGAGTAGCACAAAGTGCCCTGACTCAGGACAGTTGCCAGCTGCAAACTGTAGAGCCAAAGCAACCACCAGACCACCTGGGGATGGGGAGGACGCGCACGCGAGCGTGTGTGTGTGTGTGTGTGTGTGTGTGTGTGTGTGTTTTCAGCGCGCGATTGTGTCGGAGGCAGGGGTGTATGAGAGAAATGGAGTGGGCACGCTGTAAGGCTAAGTTCAAAACCCGCCCCTCCCCCCAAAGTTTAGTAGCCCTGCGCTAGGGAAAGGTGATTCCTTTTACCTCTTGTACCTCTCAAGTTCAAACTGAAGTTTAACCCCAACTCCCATGGGGAGTCTGGTTGGTTCCCATTCTGTCCTTAACAAACATCTCCTGATGGTGGGGCAGGGCATTAGAAATGTGAAAAGACAGTGGAGGAGAGACAGTAAGAGGTCCAGAAAACACAGCCAGGGAGGGTGCCAGAAAGATTTAGCCCTTACTTTTTCTCCATAAAGTTCTTTCCAGGCTTCCTCCAAGGAATCCTCTCAAATTAGCATTGATAAGTTGTCCTGCCAGCCTGGTGAAGCTGATGCCCTCTGGAACACGGTTATGGCCTCACACTGTATTTCCCAAGGTAAGCATGAGGACTATCCCTGGCTTTCAATACTTCAAGCTCCTGGAGTCCCTGAAGCAACCACCGCAGTGAACAGCAGACTGTACCCAGCAAACTACTCCTTCAGGAGCTAAGGGATCAAGGTACAACCCACACCTGCCCTGTGCTACTCTCCATTCTACAGTGTAAGAAGAGTGAGCAGTTTTTATGCTTGAGGTCCTAGTGCCTGGTATCAACTGAGGTGGCACGTGGTTTCAGACCTTCACCCAGCTGTAGGGGGCATGTTGTTAAGGGGAAAAAAATCGGGAAGGACCAACTGGCAGCTTCAGACTATGCAAAGAGGAACTGAAAGGAAAATGGATGGGATGGTGAAACGGGACCCAAAAAGAAAAACAAAGACTGGGGCGTCTCTCGCTAAGTAAAAGCTCTCTTCGCAACATTTGCCCAAGTACAGTTTCTTGAAAGAATCTGGATAGTGGAGCCTCTGCCCAATCTCCAACTGGGACAATTAGCTGGAGCCAGTGCGCACACACAGGTTGATCCCATACTTAGAGCGCGCAGGTCAATCAAGATCGTCCCACCAGAATATCCTTGTCCCTCATCTACACTTTTCCCCTAGCATCCCATGGGCAGCCTTTCTCTGTCCCTTTTCCTCTTTACCTTTTCTGCCACATCAAGTCCACAATCCCTGTGTGTGCCTTTGGGGTCAGACTCTGGGCTCACCGCGGACAGACTGGGTGGAGGTAATGCCCACTGCCTCCTCGAGACGCTTCTGGAGAAGCTTGAAGTCTGGGGTGGGAGTGGAATACAGCCTGATGGGAGGTGCAAGTATTTGCAGCCCATTCACCTAAAGGCTTCCTGCCTAGACTACATCTCTCTGGGTCCAGGATACAGGAAGGTCCGGAGCAGACTATCTCCCACTTTTTGTTGTAAGGATTCGGAGGGACTTGTGAAGGGGGAGAGAAGGATCCCCAAAGAACAACAGGGTAGCCAGGAGGAGAGACTCGGCTGTAGGGATGGGTGCCCAAAGGTGCTCCGATCCCCATATCAGGCGGGCACCTGGCCACTTCTTCAAGAAAGTGTGAAGTTGTGGCTAACCAGAAAGTGAGGGAGAAGGGGCCCGGGCACAGAACACAGGAAACCTGGAGGTCCCTGGTACTACAGGAAAGGAAACGGACAAACTGACTCTCCAACTTCCCTGGTCAGCTTTTCTGGTAGTCCAGGGTGCAGTCAGAGCAGGTGTCCGGCCTCTGTCCCTGCATGCTGCCCCACAACCGCCAGTTTGCCCCGGGGTCCCACCGCCTCCGCCACTGACCACCCGGGTCTTGGCAGGAGGGCTGGCGCAGCACCACCTCCTAAAGCGAAGAGAAAGCTCCGGGTTCCTCTACCGCTGCGGGCACTTCGGTCTCTAATCTCCGGAACTTTCTCAGTACAACTTTTTTTTTTTTTTTTTTTTTTGCGGGGGGGGGGGCGGTGCGGGGAGTCGCTCTTGTTCCTGGGCAGCACTGGCCAGGGCGCAGCGGCCACCCGAAGGAGCGTCCTGCATCCGCGTCCAGTTGGGCTACGCCACCCCTCTACCACTCCTGGGAAGGGAAGCGTCAGCTGGCTGGGACGCTAGTGGGCCTTGTAACCTGTCAAGTGAAGGTGCCCCAGCGTGTTCGCCCTAACGCCCTGCACTCCCACCTTCGGCCGGCGACCACTGCGTGCGGTGCGCTCTCAGTTACCTCTACCCCCAAACATCTCTTTCCCGGCTCGCCCTCCATCCTGCCTCAGTTTCCGCACCCGCAAGCAACACGCAAAAAAAAGATTCCCGGTAGTAACTCAAGAACCCGAGGAAGCAACTAGCGCGGTTCCCCTCTCCAAAAAAGCGCCCTCCCGCGTTCCTCCAGAACTCCCGAGAGGCAGCAAAATCTTCCCACAACTTTCTACGCCCAGGCCATTTGCAACCCCACCTGCGAACGCGAACTCGGGAAACTGCGCCTCGCCAACCTCTTTCCCCTGGGGCTGAGTACCCTCCCCTCCCCCATCTCCCCATCTGGTTAGAGTTGGCCGGACGGGTGACCCAGGGCGCCCGCAGGCTCGCTTACCTCGCATGGTGTGGCCGCTCCCCCGCTCCGCGTAGTCATGAAGCTGCTCCCAGCCCGAACCCCAGAGAGCCCAAAAATCCCGCTCAGCACGAGTGAAGGTGGTCGGCGAAGAGCTGCGCTGCCGCGGAAACCATCCCTTTAGGCGGACGCTGTGGCCTCAGGGTGACGTTTGCTGCCGCCGCCGTCGCAGTGTTAACAGTTTTGGTGTTGGTGACGGTGACTGTTTTGATGGTTGTTTGTTTGTTTGTTTGTTTGTTTTCAGGAAGGGCGAAAAAACGTCCTGGCTGCTGGTGTCTGGGTTTTTGTTTTGCTTTTGTTTTTCTTATTTCTTTCTCTCCAGTGTGCTTGCTTTTTAAAAATGCCACCGCCTCCGGCTCGGAAGATTTCTTTTGTGATCACTTGGACTGAGGAGGAGGAGGAAGGGCAGCAGGAGGAGGAGGAGTTGGTGGTGGTTTTGTTAGTTACAAAGAAGAGGGAGAAGGAGCAAGGGGAAAAAAAAGAAACAGAAAGAAAAGAAAGAAAGGCGGTGTGGATGGCAGAGCATGTGCGTTTTCACATGACATCTGTGCCTGTTAGCGGATCCACAATGTGAATTTTCACTGTTCAGTTACCGAGAGGAAGGGAGCGAGAGAGAAAGAGGAGAGAGATGGAGAGAGGGAGCTGAGAAGGGGCTTATAGGCGAGGGCGGGTTTGGCCGCGACTTCCAGGCCCCGCCTCCTGTCAGCGCTGACGCCAATCAGCTCCCGGCAGCGTTTGGAGAGGCTGGGACCTCGGGGGAGGGGACGCGGCCAGAGGCAGAGGGCGGGAGTTAGTGACACTCACTGGAGTCGCAGGCCGCCGGGGCAGCAACTGGGAATTAGAGACTATCCGAACAGGGTAGAGGAGAAGGAGCGACTGAGAAGGTCAGGCAGATCTGCAGGTGACATTCATTTCCAACTCCAGTAGTATGGAAGGGGACACTGGGCAGTCCTTCCGAGGAAAGAGACTCGGTACTCTCCAGATCCCACCCTCCCTCCCTTGCGAGACGTCTGTGGCCCCGCATAGTTAGTTTTGAATTTAAGGCAGTGCTTTGCAGAGTTCTTTTTCGATTATCGCATTTTTTTTTTTGACAGGGATTTCCATGGCGGGACGCTTCAGTTTAAGTGGTAGAAGAATGCAAAATCATTTTTCCCCTCACTTTTAGCATAACTATAATGCAATTCCATGCAGGTAGTCATCAGTTTTCTTTAAAACACTGTTCTTGCTTCCCTTTTCCTTAAAAAAGATTTGAAGGAAGGAAAGAAAGAATTTTTGAGAGAGAGTGTGTGTGTGCTTTTGACAAGGAAATTGGTTTTTTATTAGCATTTGAAGAATCCCATGGTAGTGGGCTACTGGACTCCAGGATAAAGGCCTACATTGGCAGTGTGGTCCCCTTAGTGATGGAGCCACCTAACAAAGGTAGGATTGTGTTCTTTTTAGTGAATGAAGGTGTCAGGACTTAAGAGGAAGAAGCTGTTGATTTTAGTTGCTCCCTGAAGACGTTTACCTATTTAGAGGACAATAAAACATGGGTAAGTTGTTTGTATTCCGTAGGTGAAATTTGTCATCTATGACCCTTCATTTGTATTCTGATAAAAATCTAATGTATGTATCAAAACTGTTCCTTTGCAAGTCTTTCCCTTTCTGTGGACAAAATAAACATGTCCTTTAGATGATTACATCTACTTCCTTCCCTACAATAGGGAATTTCTTAAATACTTTGGTTAATTGGTCACCCTAAAAGACAGGGAGATGGAAAAAAATTGTCAGATTTACTCAGTTTTAAGGCACTGAGACATATACTTATTAGTGTACCTTTAGGCAGATTCCATCATAATTTAGGTACTCAGATAATTTGATTCTTACCTGTATTCATAACGTGTCAACGAACACAAAATATTATTTAATTACATAACTCTACACTGCTAAGTAGTTTTCCCTCCTGATTAAATGAAAAATGGGTTTCTTGCTGAATCTTTAGCCTTGTTATATTGACACAACCTTGCTGCGTGCCCTTCCATTTGCAAGCCATTGTGTAAATTAAGACAATTTTAGTATTAAGAGTGAAAGTTGATTGAGTCATTAATTAAATAAAGTGAACAAAAGGAAGTTACTGTTCAGAATAGTTATTCCCTTATAAATACCTTTCTCCTAGATTTGTAATTGACACAGTAGTTAATCTTTTAAGATAATATTTAAGGCTCCCTGGTTTTATCATTTTTAATCAAGTAAAATATATTCATCATAACTACATTAAAGCTGCACTAAGTTATGCCTAATTTAGTTGCTTCATTAAAAATTACTGCATATAAAATAGTCAGGAAACAAATTGTGACTATATCATTTTAATTTTATGTGCTTCAAGCAGAGACACAGGAATATTAAAAATTTCAAAGCCTTTGTAAACATTGTAATTATTATTGTTATTATTTTTAGATTTCTATTTCTCATTACAGTAAAGAGAAACTTCAAAATTCAAAAATTTTAACTCTTTTGCGTCCTCTTGAGTTGTTGTTTATTGAATTCTAAAATTTGCTTTTACAACTGAAGTATCTATTATCTTTGAAAATGATAGTAAGTATATCTGAAGAGTACTTACCCCTTACACATTTTTATATGCCCTTTGTTTTATGAATTCAACAAAGAGTATTCTTTTGTTTAGAACATACTTCTTGATTCCTTCTGAACATTTTTAAAAGAAGTTGTTAATGAGAAATGAGAAATAATTTGTTTTTAATTTTTCAAAATTGCATCATATATGGTGATATGAAAATATTTTCTCTTTTAGAATGATCAGGGGTTTAGATGTGATAATCTATGACATTTGRATCTTCCTAAAAATTTAAAACTGAGTTGTTCATTTTTTTCTAATAAATTTCACATTTATTTCAACTCACATTTATGTAAAGCAAATATTCAGTATTTAAATGAAAGAAGTCATCATTTTCTAAGAAATCACAAAATACTAACATGTCATCTGGTTGTTTTATTACTTGTGAGCAACTATTCATTTTTCAAGTGGTATAATAATAATATAATATCCTTGTTCACATGAAGACAATGTATTAGTTATATTTTCATCACTGTGACCAAACTACCTGACAAGAACAACTTTGAGGAGAAAAAAGGTTATTTTGAGCTTACTCTTTCAGAGATTTGGTCTGTGGTGGGCTGACTTGATTGTTCTGGGCCCAAGATGAGGAAGAACATCATGAAGGATGGACATGGTGAGGAGAGATGATTTGTCCATGATGGTGAGGAAACACAGAAAGAAAGGGGAAGGTGCTTCAGGGAAGAGGAACCCTTCCAGGGGACACGCCCAGTGATCCATCTCTTTTCAGCCACATCTGACCCCAGTTACCACCCATTTAGTTCACTCAAACTAAGATGGACTGAGTAGGTTACAGCTTTCACAATCCAATCACTTTACCACTAAACCTTTCTATATTAACATAGGAGTGTCTGGTGAACAATTCATTCCAAGCCATAACCTATAGAATCATTAATTTTATTTGGATCATTTCCTATAAACTTGAAACTTCACTTTTGTCTCTGGACCTGAAGAATGTTCAAAGCTGGTAGTTCAATTCTGATTAATTTCAATGTCCATCTCAGTCACACAGGGCTGTGCCCAATCTCAAGAATTGATGTAATTTCAACTAAGTGTTGCCTGCTTCTGCTCAGTCTAGCTGCAAAGCCATGTATAATGATAAGAAGTATCATCAAGGAGACAAAGCTTTAACATGAGCCCACCAGGTAGGGTGTTCGTGGTATTTAGGATCCTAAATGCTTGAAGCCCAAGAGTAAGTCCTGATTCATTATATTCTGAGATGGTCCATCTATACATAGAGAGTATCTTAAATAATTGTGAATCTTGGAGAAATATTGACAATATTGATAACAATACTACACTAGGAATGACTGAAAGATTTGAGTGTAGTTAGTCTAGTTCAGCAGGCTGTGTGGTTGTGAAAGTTGAGAAAGAGATATAAAGCTACCTTTAAATATTGGGAAGGACAGAATTTTTGACATTTGAGCCTATTAGAAATGAAAGGAGTAAAATACTGAGCTCTCTGTTGCTGAAGACATTGGTAACAAATTCTGATTTTTGTAGTAGATGAGAAATTGTATCTCTAGATATATTTACATTTAGGAAGTTACCACTGCCTCAGCAGCTATACCAGAATTTTTCTTCCTACTTGAGGAGGTCAGCTCCCTGAGAGCAGGAGCAAGGATTTCCAGAGCTTCAAGGAGCTCCTGGTTAGTACTTGATAGGTGCTTGACCATTACTGATGGATAGAAAGCTTCCTACTGCCTTTTCTGCAGGAATTGAACCACAAATTGGGGCAAAGATCTGAATAAGATGTTTTCTGTCTTCATTTCTGAAATATAGGAGAGAGAGAAATAAAGGGGGAGCAAAAATAATGCTTGAGATTGGTTACATAATTATAAAAGAAAGCTAAATTTAGTTTCATTCATATTAATTGCTAGTCTCAACTTTATTCATAAGTAGAGAGTCTTCATAATCTATTAGTACTTTAGTTTTGGTTCATTTTGAAATGTGAATACAAGCTAAAAAGTGTTCCAAATGAAAAAAGAAAATATTAAAAATCTGTGGTCTGTATTGTATATAATAAACTGGAAAAAGTATCATGGGCCCAACATAAGTTAAGCTCATTTTGTGGGACAGACATGAGTAAGGTCCACCTCAGGAAAGGGACTAAATACACAGGAGGAAACTGTGTTCAATCAGTCTAATTTTTATTTCCTCCAAGAGCATACAGGTTACACATTATATGTCCTCCCCGCCCTTCCCACCCCATCACTTTTCCTCCCAGATAAAGGGACAGAGACTTGGAACAGTTGAATCACTTGTCTGAGATCAGAAATCTCAAGATGCTGGGTCCAGGACTCAAACCAAGATATAACTAATAAAATATAAATTCTGTAAGTACAGGAATGTTCTTGATTTTATTTGTTTCTGTGCTGAGTTGATAGAATCTAGAATCTTGCCAGGTAAAAAGTAGGTGTTTAAAGTACACRTWTGAARGAAGACTTCAATACATTTAAAYCCTATTCCACTGAGCAGTACTACTTATCTACAATCTAGGCACTAAGTGACATTAAGTAAAGAACAGTGAATTTTGACATAAGAAATAAAAGGTTACTGTGAAAATTTATGAAACAATAATAGCTTGATTTGGTTCATCATGAAGTTTAGGAAAATACTTTTGTAACAAATATTTCATGTCATAGATAAAGTNATATATATATATGTATATATTTTTTTTTTCTAAAGGCCCCCTAGCAGGACATTCAGAGCTCCATACTTTTGAAGGATGGCCATACCTTTGAGAGCAAACTGCCTCTTTTCTAAAGTTTCGCAGTTAATAAAAATTAAACTACTTGAAATAATAGATGAAAACTGGACTCTAGAAAAGCCAAGCCCCATCCTTGTTTACAACAAGCATAAAACCAGATTTCTAATCCGCCCAAGCGACAATCACCTATTGATTGCGACGACATCTGTGCCCCTGTTTTTGGAAGCAGGGTTTTCTGCGGAGGAAGGACTGAAAAATCCAACCATTCCCGTGCCCTGTGTAATACACAACTGGCAGATTTTTCAGG